GTTGGATCTGTATCAAAATTGGCATGCCTTGAGAGGTTTCTTATTGATATGAGTTCAGTTCGGTATGATTTGTCCCCTAATTATGGTAAATACTAATAGCAGCTTTACAGTAAACATCAAAATTCATATTGTGATCTGAAGGTAACTGGCTTGTAACTAGTCGGCTAAAATTTACAAAATGGAAAAACCAATATAAATGTCCAGAGTTTAGGAGAGTAACTGAAGAATATGATATACTGAAGCATCAACTTTGGTTTTATGATTACTATTTTATAAAAAGTGCATGACTAAAATTGTCTCCTTTTTTAAATAAAGAGATTTAAAAAAAAACAGAAGATAATATATCAAACTGAGCTACATCGACTTCATGCAGAAACTGAATGAATTAACATTGCTATGTTACACGTGTTGCATGGTGCGTTCAATCGTACTAAGCAGTTAGAACACAACGAAAAGCTGTCTAATCTTTATTAAAATTTAAGTCTGATCGATGAATATTAGTGAACCTATTCTCAAAGTGTGTACCAATAATAATTTATTCATGCATAACTATGTCATGTTGGTACATGTGGCCGGCGAATAGGCTTTACACAAATGATACACCCAAAGTGTGGGATATCAGTTTCATTCTTAATGGATTTGTCTGGGAGAAAAACTGCCTAAACAAACATTCTATTAACTTGTATCACATTCGATCGATCCTTTCCAATCTTAAGAAAACTTCGAGACCACCGGCTTGTTTGATCTCTATCCTATCTGGCCAGTGCAATGACCAAACTGACCCATGGCTTTTCTTCCTTTCAATTGTCAGCACCGATTGGCCGAACAGATCTCCCCCTCGATTAAATCACATCATTGTAAACAACTTTAGACCGTTCCTTTCTCTCCCAAGCCGATTAATTTCAATAGATACCTTCGAATTTTCTTCAGCAAAGCGGGGAATATCAATTACATCTAACAAGAGATTATCCGTATTGAGAAGACAAAGCAGCGTTCGATTTCATTCAGAGAGTGGATTTAGACGGAGTGATACAGCCTTTTCAGGCCAGCTATTCACGCCTCCCCTGTACGGAACTACCCGCACAACTATCGCTGAGCCACGGCGACAATTGTGATTGTGATCCGCTAGTGCTCGCCTTTTCACGGAGTCAACATGTTATACAAACAATTGATTCTTCTCAATTAATTTCCAATGCTAATCGCTTGCTAAGAGGGGGAAGAACAATAATCTCACTTTAAATCGTTCACACTTGATGAAAAGAAGCGGAAAACCGGACGTTTTCGACATGTATAGGACGGTCACTATGAATAAAGCAAGACACTTAATTACTCCTGGGAATAAAGTCTCTAACACACAGCCATCCGGGTAATTCAAATCTGCTTAAAGTCAACCTTCAAAGTAACGCAAAGTCTTTCTTTCCTCAACTTTTGCCCCAATAAAATTTATCAGAAAACGAGTGAAAATTAGGAGTACCAGCGTTCCGCCAAATAACTCTCAGTATACTTAATCCTACTTAAGGTCCTTTTCTTATATAACTGACGGATAAAATATTTTCCACTTGATTTAGTTTAATGCGAGATATGTGACACACGTCATATGATTTTATAGCTGCAATAAACTAGAAGATGAAAGAAGTTGGGAGGGAAAATTTATTCAAAATGTTTGCTCTAATAATGACAGACGATGTGTAATTGGTGGGGATCAATCGCATTTACAGCCAAAATAACTGTCTTGTCCTTCTAATATAATAATAACCTTCGCGTGGTTATGTACTAAAACCATGTAGAGGTAATTTGTCTTCCCCAAATTATTACCTTTCTTGCATTTACTCTAGTCTCTTTTACCTCCGCTGCAGCCCTCCCCACGCCAAGCAATACGATGGCATTCATGTTTTTAAGAATTCAGTTTTTAAAGTTTAAAAAAATGAGTAGCTAAGAGTATTTTTTTGGGGGTGTGTGTGTGACTAGAATGCAATATGAATTACGTAACACGATTTTATTATTATCGTTTTTTGTTGGTATGGCAATTTTCTTGTTCCCTCTAACCAATCCTTGAAATTTGCTTAAAAAATGTGCTCGAATATCCTAACGTTGTTTTCAATTTGAAGGTGTCATAGTACTTTCTTAATAATTAGCAATATGCATATTTTTGTACTGTTTGCTAAATGTGAAAAGTAATGCAACAGTATTGAAAAGGAGAATACTTATATTTTATTTCTTTAAAAAATTGAAAACTATACTCAATATTGGAAGTTTTTACTTTTGTTTTGGTTTCCTTATTTTCACATGTCGATCGTATACACAAATATGAACTTTCTTTCGATTATTCAGTATTAATTTCCAAACAAAATGAATCTATGAGACAATGTACGCGTTATCAAACCACAACATGACCTGTCCTCATCTACAACACGTTTTGACGGTTAATCTGAAAGCGATATCACATCTATTTCCTATACGTAACTTTTATCATATATAATATTTGTAACCACAAGAAAAAGGAACTTTACCAAAAAAATGTAATAATCTGTGAATCGGACTGGCTTCGAAAGGTTTGGATATCATTCAGATTTGTGATAAAAATCGGGGGGGGGGGGGAGAGATCCTGTACGAGTATATCTTTAATGTACATGCAATACGCATTTTTGTGAACGTGTTTTTGCACCACTGCACCAAATCCCCTTATAATCATTGCTATAACATATACAAATTACGTTAAAACCAACAATTGTCTTTATTTCTATTTTTTACATCTTATTGTACTAATTTGAAGATATACTTCTATTTGAATTACAAATTGTAGTAAATTTAGCAAAGCATTATGCATATGGCAATGACATTTCCAAATGTACCATTTCAAATCCTTAATCTTATAATCTATTTTTAATTGCAATCCATATCAGTTAATCTATATCCCTTGAGGAATACACGTATAAATCCTGTACGATTGTATCTTGATGTACATGAAATTCGCATTTTTATGTACGTGTTTTGGCACCACTGCACCAAACCCCCTTATAATCATTGCTATAACATATACAAATTATGTTAAACCAACAATTTCTATTTATTTATATTTGTTTTATATTCATTTACACCCTATTGTACTACTTTGAATATACAATTCTATTTGTATACCAATTATAGTGAACTTATCAAAGCATTATGCATATGGAATTAACAATTCATAATCTTCCATTTTTTTAAAAATTGCAATCCATATAAATCTACCCCTGAGGAATACTTTTATAGTTTACTGCTATGTACTTTTCCCGTCTTTTAACATGTTCAATCATTCTTCTTCTTCGTCTATCACTGTAGAATTAGCATCGCTAATTCGAGCCATCCATTACTTATACGATCGCAATGTGTTTGCTGATGAATTAGAAATTGATAAGAGCAAAAAGCTTACGCATTAATATTACCGAATATCTTAAAATTGAGCACAATTTCCTTTTCTTTCACTCAAGTTTATGCCATTCCATTTGAATAGTCTTATTACTTTTAAGTTGCAGAAACATTTTAAATATGTACGTTTGAAAAAGGTGGTGCTTTATCAAATCGCGTGATTAAATATGAGCTGTATACAGCAAGTAAACCATGTCTAGCTCAATTCATTCCGTCATATTTTGCTTTCAAACTTCTTTTCCATAAAAAAATAAAATCATAACAATTTTAACAATCATGTTAACCCTGTTTAATGAATATCTTATTTGATGTTCAATAAAAATAAACGGGATATTTAAGTTGGCAACTGATACATTTTGTTAACGATAACGTTTTTAGACCACAGTTTGACAATCCTGATACCGAACACTGAACCTCCCAGAATAGTAAGACTCTTAATTAAGTATCAAAATGCAGGGATGTTGAAACATTTTTCATCAATATTCTGATAAAAAATATACGATATATTACACTTATCCTTCAAAATACACTCCACAGAGAGGGAAATTGCACGAACACTTCATTATCTTAAATAGTACAATTCGCTAGTTTTTTTTCGCACAGCATGCACATGCTATTTGCTGAGTGATGTACTCGCCCGAATTTTCTAAAAGGCCTTCAGAAAAACTCTTTTCTGCCGATTAACAATTATGGCATCGGAACTATTTCAATCTTCACGTCTAAATCACCGATTTTACTCACTCAACTACGTTTGGTAATTGACCTTTTGTTTAAATGTATTTGAATTTCAGGAAAGAAATAGAAAGAAAATGTGAATAAAATGCGAATTGAACTGTACAGAACCTCAAAGCTTCCACTTAATCTGAACAGATTGGAAGGTTCAGGTATACATGTAGTTACCGTGCTAAAAAAAAAAATGATGTGTGATATGTGATTTGTAGAAGTAGGAATTGTGATCTATTACTTTCATTCCCCGTTCGGCAATTCATTTTAACATTATACTTCGCTGTTATTGTATAAAATCTAGAATGATATATTCAAACTTATATAATGTTTGAGTTAGTGCAACTCAAAGATAAGTACATATTGATGATAAATGAACAGATTAATCCATAGTCATAATTATAGGCATGTGATATACAGCTTTAAAGATTAGGCAGATACATTACGTTGCAAAATAAAATACTTTGCAAATATAATTTTAATCACATGTAAACTCGTTATAAAATATGGAATAATACGGAGTAACATTCTAGCCAGGATTAGTTTTAATGAGAGTATCTTGATAAGACTACCGTATCCCAAGTTGGGGTGAGTAGAGAGAAATCGACGAGTTTTAAGAGGCTCTGCCCAATAATAATCAAACATGCAATAATTTGGAGGAAAGGAGATGATATCAAAATTTATACGATGAGAAAATATCCCCAGAGGACTGGTGCTTGAATTGAGAGGTACAGTTCATAGTCGCATAAAATGGCGTAATAGTGTTGTGAGTATAATGGGATAAGGAGATAGATGGTTTGTTTTATGCGATCGTTGGGTGATGTTTATGGGCTAGAGAAGGGGTGATATAACCGGTTGATGTTTCTTACCTGTCATATCAAGAGGATATGGTGAGTTGTGGAGACCGTACGGGGAGCCGTAAGCGTTGCTGCTCATGTATTGCTGCTGATGTGCCATATGGGCGTGATGGGGAGGAGATCCTGCATGAGTTAGAAATGTATTGCCGAATGTATTGGCGTAGGGGCGAGGTGTTGCCCCATGAGCGGCGGCGGCTGCGGCGGCCGCTGCCCCACCACGGATTTCGCTGCTATTCCAGGCCGCCGCGGCTGCCGCTGGAGACACCCCACTCCCGGCGGCTCCCGGCGGCAGCTCGTCTCCAGCACTGGATGCAGCCAAACTTGACTCGGTGGGTGAGTTATACATGGGGTAGGAGTAGTGAAAAGCACTAAGTTGTTCAGGGTTTGAAGAACCGACACTGACCATGGCATTGCATGAGGCCCGTTGCCTACTGCTTGTTCCGTAAAGTCCGTTCATAGGGGCAGAAATGCCTCTATATTCTGCAGCACAACTGTCCATTCCGGTAGGGCGTTGAGCTTGCCAAGCCTGTTCCATGCCGATCTGCATTCTGGCCAGAAAACACAAATGCAGAAATAATTTTTTATTGCAGAGCGCGGGTCGAAGAATTAGGTGCTCCCTTTTTAGCTGTATATCATACAGTATCTAACAGCAGTTGAAAATTAGTTAGGTATGGGCGCTCGAATCTAAACCCTTCCGTCGTTTCGTCAAGTAAACTCTGTGAATGACGACCATCCGACCTCGGCGACCCTTCCGTATGCTAATCAACATTTACAACTCGGTCACGTGATACTCGCTTACTACGAACACCCATCACACAGAGTCCACTTCAAATAGTCCAGTATTTTTATTATCATGTGGTCGAAATCTGGTGGATCGCTCTTTCTATTCTGTCTCCTCACAGTCTTTGAAGTCCTGCGACCCCTTTCTTATCGGCTTTATGGGACTTGAGTCAAATAGAAAACAATAACGCGGGGCCCGAAATCTGCGCAATCGCCCACCGCTCTTCCTTTGATCTTACTCGCAACCAGTTCCATTGGCAAATGAGTCTCAAGCGCAAATTTATGGCCACCCCTGTGCTGGCGTGGCGGTAACGATGGTGTCGCAACGCGTCATGGTCACAAATACTATCCACCACCAGTACAGGAAAGGGTATCGTTTATACCAGGGTTTAGTAGGGGAGCACTTCTTACACCACTACCAACACAAGTAGAACACTCCAAAAGTCGACTGGTCAACTGTTTTGACATACCGGTGTTCACTATAAAAGCGAAAACCGGATTTCGATATAAAAAGCCCCCAGACACCCATTGAAATGATCGGTCACGCAGTGTCCACTGGCACTTTACCTCTTTCATCTAAACTATTTCGGATTATTTTGATTTTTGGGATGTTTTTGTTTGTGGGAGAGAGGGTGAGGGTGGGCCACTCAAGAGGGCAAGAACTATAACATTCTCTTGTTGCTCCAAAACACCATTATGTAATTGACTTTTAGGTGGCATTTCTGTCTCTACATACTCTTTATCACCCCCTTTCTCTCTCTCCACTCTTTCCCTCTGTCTTTCACCCTCTCTCACTCTATATTTCCACCTCTTTATTAATATCTCACTTTCTTCTCAATCCCTCTTCATCTCTCTTCATCTCTCTCTTTCTTTCTCTCTCACTCCCCCTGTCTCTGTCTCATTTTTCTCTCTTCTCCTCTCTTCCCTGTCTTGAATACATTTTGTTCATCGCCCATGCAACTGCCTCTTTCTGCCCTCCTCCACTCCTTCCCCCTTTATCCCTCTCTCTAAATCTCTCTCTCTCTTTCTCTCTCTTTCTCTCTCTCTTTCTCTTTCTTTCTCTCCCTATCTCTCTCCCTCTCTCTCCCTCACTCCCTCAGACTCTACCCTCTCCCATATGAAGTCGGACTGTTAAGGATTCTAATGAAACATCAAGCGGGAAGTTGGCAGTATTGCAAGACATACCATTATAACTCAACCTCAAGTGGTAGTGACAATGATTAACACTCTAAATCATTTAGAATGTAAATTATATTATTTTCAGTAAAATTTAAAAGAATATATTTTACAGGGTTATTTCTTCAGCGACATAACAATAATGGATTTATGACAGGACATAACATCCAATATTACACTAATTGAACCTATCTATCATAATTTTAGTATCATTATGTTGTATAATACTATCTTTTAATAATACATGTTTTTTTTTATGTGAAAGCATTTAAATTATGTTTGTCTAAGCTGAAGATGTTGCGTACACGCTATCCGTCTTTTTCAAGAGACAATGTGAAAATGTCCATATATCACATTTTCTCAATGATCTAATATGATTTAGATTCTTTCAACTAAGTAATACTACAGAGAATACCTTCATTCAATATCTATTTTATTGATACATACACAAATGTTGATTATTTTTTCTTTATTTTTAAAATTGTAAAATCATTGTTCTACCATCGTTCGTTACCTTCCTGGATAATAATCCAATGATTCGTTTAAATCTCAAACTGAGATATAGTGGCTATATCGATTTCTATATTCCAATCACATGAATGAAACACACATGGATTGCTGTCATATTTTCGAACATTTTAATGAATAATCACTTAACGTTAATATTTCTCACAGTGAGATTAGACAAATTAGGTAAACATACGTCAATTCATCTCATCAAAGAGTAACACATTCTCAGATGATAAAATTAAAAGTATGTCAATCAAATTTGACAATTTCATTTTCTTGGTTCAGGCTGTATATGTAAGACAATTTTGAACATTATTAACAAGAAGTCTACAATGAATGTCAATAAATGACAATCACAAGTAAAATGTTAGCTGGTGGTAAACAACAAAATCACCGTACTTATCTGAATATTTAGTCGCCCGTAAAACAAACTCTGAGCATTTCGACAAAGAAAAGGCAACCAATGTTGATAAAGATAATATCACAGAATATCGATAAAGAAAATGCATTCATCAGTCAGTCTATGTGGCTTGTCATTAATCGCAATTATTTCAAACACCAAAACTTAATGTTGTTTTCTATAACTTTCCAAGAAACTTGATATTTTTACACACACACTATAATTTTCATAATTGTCACATTCGTTCATTTATCACTGGTGTCGATATTTTGCTCTTCGGGCGAATTCTTCTGAATCAAAAGTACTAAAAAATGTGTCACAATCTAGTGACTCGCTGAACTATCTCAGCGATATATCTCGATTCATAATGGTATCTTGTGATCGAATCAGCTTCGTCTTTGTCGATCACATTCCCCTCATTTACTCCTCGTTTTCGTCACTAAAATGCTGGAGCGAAAGCTAGCGAATCATAGCCTTCGACTAACAATGAGATTCCTCTCCCCGAGGAAAAACAAGAAAGAAAATATGACAAAGACGGAGATCCGATCATTATAACTGCATTGACCCCGTTACGTAGGGACTGCGACAATAGCAATGCTATCTCATTACATATTAGTCGACGCGTCTATGAACTGTACTGCAGTATGTATATGATAGTTTTTTGTTTTTTTTAACGAATATTTTTTTTGAATAGTTACGGAATGTCGTAAAAAGGCCACCTCATTATCATGTATTAGAACTGAACTACAACATGTGAATATAATTTGACCACGAATGATGATGCTACTATTTAAAGCTGCATGAATTTCATGTTATTAATTTGTTTACCCCAAAATCGGTTTATTTTTTTTATTTTTAAAAACTTTCATGGCTATTGATTTTACTGCCATGATTGTTTTTTCTACTGATTCATTTTTTTTCTAAAACTGTATTAGTAGTTTACATTTTTTTGTTTCACCCTCACTCTCACAGTTTTTTTTTTTTTTTTTTTTTTTGCTGCTCTTTTTTTTTTTAGGTAACTTATTTTGCTGCTACTTTACATTACTCGTTACAATTCTCAACAACATAATCAATACATATTAAAATAAAACATGTTTTATAACTATTATGCTATGGTTTATGTGTTAACGAAATATCAATGATACAGATGATGACATCGTAATTTGGTATTAAATATGCTGAAAATGCATTCTATCTAATATATTCTATCATTAACTAGTACCTAATCAATCACAATATTTTAAAGTATAATATATTACTGTAAAAAAAGCTACAGTATGTTATGTAACAAAGAGGATATGATTATAATGACTGACTTAAAGTACTATAAGTAATGATACATCACATAAATAAAATGTCTAAAGAATATTAACGTTCAACAATAATATTTTTGGAGCAATAATATTTGTTTTTATTCTTTACTGTTTGTTTACACAATATAACGGGGTTTTTTCTGCTAGAGGACTATAAACAGAATTTCCGCTGAAACAAACATTATATGATTACTATTTGAGAGTCTATTATTAATAAGTTTGTTTATTTTCAGTCAAAATTGATTATCTAAGTTACAAGATGTTTTGTTGGTAATGTATTAAATATATAAACGAAGATCCAAAGTGTAACAGGTAACCAGGGCGATGGCTCATTTTATGTGCAATATGTAATTATCTAAGTTTAACAATCTAAGATTGAATGAATGTCAAATAAACAATATGGGGATATGATATACTGTTAAAATGGAATTTCCGTCAAGTGAAAATGAATAATGTTTGTCATGCTCAAAATTTAATTTGAGTCGTACTAAAAAGTAAAGGGAAAATATGTGGGCTGTTTTATTCCATCTTATTGATTTTAGCTACATGGTATACGTCTATATAGTCGATCTGTGCTATGAATGATTTCATATGAGAGAAGTAGTTTAGTCACCCCCGACAAAGGTATTCAAAATATAAACTATTTTAAAATTGTGGCGGTAAGAAAAACTGTTATTAACTGTTTAATAGATATGAGTACTCCGAAATTTCGATCTTATTTTTCTGGTGACAGAATATAGACCCAAAATTAATTAATAAGGCATAGTAAAATTCGAAATATCGTGCGAGAACAAGGGGAAAAAACATTTATACAGCTAATTTCCATAACAAAAGAAACAAATCAAAAGCCTCAAATTTAATTTGTTCGATGAAATTACATTATTTTGCTTAATTTCATTCTTTATTTTTTCATGAATATGATTTTAATAAAGTTCATTAAAGGACAATCATTGATTATGCCTATTGTTGTTGTTAAAGAAGATAATTAATGCCAGTAATTATTATAACATCAATTTCTCATGTATTTTAATGCTCTTTATTAGTTTGTTTTACCTTTTGATGGGGTTATTATCAAATAATTTGTGTAAGGGTTTTTTCTTTCTGGATCCCCAGCATTGGCGTCATGTAAAACATAATTTTTTTCTTCCCTTGTTGTTGGTGTTGGTTTGTTTTTCCTTTATTCGTTTTTTTACAATAAGATATCACAGAAATCTATGATGGATAAGCTTTATGAATAGGGTTATTCTATACTATGGAAGATGTTAAGTGGCGAATAAGTAGAATTCATCAATAGCATCTACGTCATCGTAGAAGCCTATTCTTCATTTTCCATTTAGTTACCTCTCTTTTTGTGAAGACGAAAACAAAGACAATTTTGATCAACATCTGCCTTTGCGGAATAAAACCATTCAAAATGAAAAACTATGATGTGGGGGCGCTGAATTGCTCATGATTTTTCATTCAAAATGTCAACACGACCTTTGACATATAGCTTCCGTGTTTTGGAAGGGGTCCAAGCTATCTCAACCTTGAGCTATGAACATGACGGGGGTTACTTTGAACCGCACAAAACACTTGCTATTGTCGTGGACTTTTGCGGTTTTCGAAACATAAAAGTGCGATGGGAAGCATAATTATCACATTTGAATGAATCCAGCAAGGAAAAAAAGGGCCCACAGAGTATAATCACGAGATCAGTATGGATGTACTTCGACTGTCGGTATTGTTACAAGCAGTGCCTTGAGGTATACCCATGGTCGCTATTTCCCCCCTTTTCATGGATTTGCCCCCTTCTCTTTATTTTCCTTCAGAACGGATGTTACTTTATATATTCTGTGTATATATCTTTGACTTTGATGATTCTTACATCTTTCATTATAACCTGTTGTTAGAAGTCATCCCTTGAAAATATAACATGCTTTCTATTTACATTTTTATATTAAATACTTTGCAAAGCGTAGCATTTTTATATAAACGTCGCAGGGGGACAAATTTTTGAATTACAATATAATTATCACGAGTGT